CGCAGGAGCGGAAGGTATGGGAGGTACTGCATTGCGATGGCATCACATCGCTTCTGTGCTGTACGCAGTCAGAATCCGTACGAATAAGCCTGAACTTTGAGTAGTAAGTTGTTACGTTTGGAAATCCTTGTTTTCACAGCATTTCGTTTGGGAATTTACAATCACTCAGTGCGGACATGGTTGGTCTCTTTCGCGAAACTTCCAATTTTTCGCCCAGCTCTTGGTTTTTAAGTCACGCACTAGTGGAATATCGTGAGAGAATAACAATAGATAGTGGTGTAATTTTTTTATGTCTATGGCTTTCCTTCTTTACTGTTGTAGATACCTGGGCTCTTGTGGTTATACAGTGGAGATAAGTCTATTGGCATAATTTTGATAGCGAGAGAAAATGTTTTTTAATCTGTAGTATCATGTGGTCGCCATATCGTAATGGTTTATAAGATTTGTGTTAAAGTTTGCCACGTACTGCTGCGCATGCCACGTTTGCCTTGAGCCCTTTTCTGAGGTTGGGATAGCATAACTCTGTCTGTCCTCCGTAACTCATGCGTTCAAATGCTTTACTTGTTGTAGTTGATGCAGTAGTTTACAATGAGACTAATTAGTACAATCATTAACTCATATTTCCTTAAGATTGAGAACATGATAAGATTCATCAAACGCATTCGCTGCATCTTTGCTACATGATGATCTGAGAATTGCTTTTTACTGTTCAGGTGAAACGTGGAGAACCATGCCATCACCACGTCATTACCCGGATGGAACATTACGCTCACCAAGAATTTTAGATGATGATGACGAGATAGAGTAAGAACGTTCATGTACTTGTGTGTATGCACAATGTTTTGCTATTTTATCTTTTTTGTATAGACCTGCTTACTTCCGTGCTGCTCGAAGCAGATCTCAAAGTGCCATGCCAGCAGTAGACGACGAAGAAGAGAGGTGACTAAACAGTTGATGCTTGTTGAGTTACTTTTCAGCTTAATACAAATAATAATTAATTTATTGTCGATTTGGGTTGGAAGCGCATCTAGATATATGGTTTTGCCAGAAACCGATTTTGTTCTTGAAGTAAACATATTCAAATTCTTATCGTTTTAAATATGAAGCATTTACATCAGTTTAACTCTTATCTTTTGAGAGGACTACAAGATAAGGCTACCAGTTGCCTGGAATCCAAGTGGCGCTCATTTTTCATGTACTCCCATATGTGATTTTTAG